CATCATGCCCTCGAACCCCACAACAAAACGGTGTTGCTGAGAGAAAAAATCGTCATCTTATTGAAACGACACGCACCTTATTGTTACATGCCAAACTCCCACTTAAATTTTGGGCTGATGCAGTTATGACATCTTGTTATCTAATTAATCGCATGCCCTCTTCTGTTTTACAAAATCAAACCCCTTTTTCTATTTTATTTCCAACACAACCGCCCTATCATCTCCCTTCGCATCCAATTGGATCAATTTATTTTGTTCATTGTCTTGATCCAGGTCGAGATAAGTTAGCCTCTAAAGCGGTCAAGTGTGTCTTTCCTGGCTACTCCCAATTACAAAAGGGTTACAAATGTTACTCTCCTAGCCTTAACAAATATTTCATGAACGCAGATGTAACATTTTTTGATCATCAACTTTATTACTTTACTGATCCACACGATAAATCTAGTGTTCAACAGGTCCTTCCGATTCCTGTTTTCCTTATTCCATCAACTGATCATACTTCAAGTCCAGTTGTCGATACCCCAACGTTGAAAACCTATAATCGTCGTCCTCGTCCTCCTATACATCCTTCTACTAATACTGATGGAGAGATAGATCCACCAAATACAGGAACCTTTGACTCCTCCTCTTCGTCGGTTAGTCCACTAGCTCCGGTTCTGGGTGATGATGATTTGCCCATTGCTCAGCGGAAAGGTAAACGGTCAACTGCAAACCCCAAGTATGCTATCCATAATTATGTTCACTATGACCGTTTATCCTTAGCTTTCGTAGCATGTGTTTCCAGCCTTGCATCGGTACATATTCCAAAGACAGTAAACGAGGCTTTACTTCATTCAGGGTGGCTCCAAGCAATGATTGATGAAATGTCCGCCTTACACAATAATGGGACATGGGAGTTAGTTTCGTTACCTCCTGGAAAATCACATGTTGGCTGTCGTTGGATATTCACTCCTAAAGTAGGTCCAGATGGTAAACTCGGCCGTCTTAAAGCTCGGTTGGTAGCCAAAGGATACACTCAAATATTTGGTATGGACTATACTGATACTTTCTCTCCGGTTGCTAAAATGACTAGCATTCGTATTCTTCTATCCATGGCTGCAATGCGTGATTGGCCTCTATACCAACTGGACATTAAAAATGCTTTTCTCCATGGGGATCTGCAAGAAGAAGTTTACATGGAGCAACCTCCTGGGTTTGTTGCTCAGGGGGAGTCCGGTTTAGTCTGCAGATTACGAAAATCTCTTTATGGCTTAAAACAATCTCCAAGAGCCTGGTTCGGGAGATTTAGTGCCGTGGTAAAAGAATTCGGGATGAGGCAAAGTGGGGCAGATCATTCAGTTTTCTATCGTATTTCAGGGACACAATGTATCTACTTGATAGTATATGTTGATGACATAGTTGTCACAAGGAATGATCACAAGGGAATACATGAGTTAAAAGATCACTTGTTTAAGAACTTTCAGACCAAAGATATGGGGAATCTCAGATACTTCTTGGGTATAGAGGTTGCAAAGTCCAAGGATGGGATTTCAATATGCCAAAGAAAGTATGCTCTAGATATTCTAGAGGAAGCTCATCTATCCGACTGCAAACCAGTTGAATCTCCAATGGATCCTAATGTCAAACTCCTACCAGGTCAGGGGGAGTTGTTGGCAGATCATGGGAAATATCGAAGACTGGTAGGTCGTCTTAACTATCTCACAGTAACTCGTCCGGACATTTCCTTTGCTGTAAGTATAGTTAGTCAGTTTCTAAATGCTCCATGTGACACTCATTGGGAAGCCGCTCTACGGATCCTAAAATATATCAAAGGAGCTCCAGGGAAAGGTCTTTTGTATGAGAACAAAGGGAGCACAGAAGTATCTTGCTACACTGATTCTGATTATGATGGTTGTCCTTTTAGTCGAAGATCAACATCTGGATATTGTGTTCTCTTTGGGGGTAATTTAGTATCCTGGAAAAGTAAGAAACAAAATGTGGTAGCAAGGTCTAGTGCAGAAGCAGAGTATCGAGCTAAGGCAAATGAAACATGTGAACTTATATGGGTCAAACAACTTCTCGAGGAACTAAGATTTTGCCAGGTTTCTCAAATGAAGCTTATATGTGACAACCAAGCAGATCTTCATATTGCTTCCAACCCAGTGTTCCATGAGAGGACAAAACATATTGAAATTGACTGTCATTTTGTTAGAGAAAAACTACTTGATGGTCTAATCGTGACAGAGTTCGTTAATTCGAGTGAGCAGCTTGCAGATGGGTTTACAAAGTCCCTAAGAGGACCCCGAGTTGACTATATATATAACAAGCTTGGTGCCTACGATATATATGCTCCAGCTTGAGGGGGAGTGTTAGAATTGTATAGTTTAGGGACTGAAATGTAAATATATAGTTTCCTTATACAGGCAATGTATATATTCAGATTGTAAATCCTCCGTATGTTAATGAAAAAAAATTGATTCTTCCATCTCTCTCTCTCTTTACGCATACTCTGATTTCACAATATCTATTCTGAATTTCCAATATCTGAATTTTCTATTGGAAATTCAAACTTTAAATTTGAAATGTATTTTTTTATGTTATAAATATATTTTTAAAATATGGAAACCATGATTGAAAGTTTGTTTTCAATTTTCAATAAAAAAAACTGACAGCCACCCCTCTGAAGTGTAGGGCGTAGGTAATCAACTCATATTTATCATTTCACTTTAGTATTTTATTTTTATTTTTGTCAATCAAACTTTTCAAGTTTATATCGCTACCATTATTACAACAGGTTCAAAAGATTAATTTTAGGGGTTTTCTATAAGTACCCCTCTTCCTTTTCCAATTCCACCCATTGATTTGATTTTTTGTCTTTTGTTGTTGTTTGTTTTTGTTTTTTTTCCTATTTTGTTTTTTTGTTGTTTTTAATTCTTTTATTATTATTATTATTATTATTATTATTATAAATTTCGCACAAAATTTTAACATTCGGACGACATTATAAATTCAAATGACTATAAAATCGGTTTTTAAATATTCTTTTATATTTTTTAATTACGGACAAAAAAGTCGTTCGAATTTTATAATGTCGTGCGAATTTATAATGTTTACCGAATTTTAAAATGTCATCCGAAATTTAAAATGTTGTCCGAATTTTTTCTGATTATTGAAATTTATAATAATAATAATAATAGTAATAATATTAAAATATAAAATAAAAGGAAAAAAAAATCAAAAACAAAAAGGAAAAAAATGGAAAAAGAAAAGAAAAATAAAAAAAATAATGTCAAATCAAAAGTAAAAAATTGATTTGATTGATGTTAGGGGGGTAAAATTGATTATGGGTACTTATAACCCTTAATTTTAACTCTGTTTCTATGTTCTATACGTCAATAGTGACAATTGTTTTGGAATGTTTTGATGAATTATCTTATCTTTATGTGTGGCATAATTAAAAAATAATAATTAAATATAAAAAATAGTTATTGTATGCATTTATTACTTTATTTATATTCTCTACCGATAAGTAAGTAATGATATAGAAATTATCCACAAAAATTAACGTAAATTATATATCAGCTATAAATATAATTGTTATATCTAATATAATAAAATGAAAACAAACAATAATATATAATATCTGTATTGAAAACAAATATCTACTTTTATTAAAAACTTAATATCTTTATACACATTTCTTTCAAATCCGAGTGTATTTCATAATATCATATTAAACTATACATATGTTGTCAATATTGTGATGCTAATCATTGGAAAAATCTAATACATATAAACATAAACACAAATAGATAAGATCTGAACTTAAACACAAATAATTACAAATTATAAATTTTATTATACACACTCACAAACATTTTCAGATTTAAAATAATGTAAAAGCATATCAAATTTTGGGAATAAACACACCCACACTCGTGAATACGAACATACATGTCTGATTTCACACTCAAATACCCAAGGTATTCAAAAACTTTTAAGCAAAAACTCACACATATACACATTTAATCAGATGAAAGAGAAATTAAGATTTAAGAGCTACTTTTGTACATCAGAAACATAAACACATATATAAATTTATAAGAAAAACATTAGATCAAGAAGATTTGAAGGGTGTTTGGGAATACTTTTTAAATGACTTTTGCCTTTTAACTTTTCTAAAAAGTTATAAAGATGTTTGGAAGATGCAAAAGTTCTTTTCAAAATAACTTTTTGTAAAGAAGAAAAGAGTGGGTTTTCAAAAGTCAAGAAAGTGTGACTTTTTGTAACTTTTGGACTTTGAAAGCTAAATCACACTCAAAAGTCAAAAATACTACCCAAACACTTTTTAAAATCCACTTTTGGCTTTTGTTTCCTCAAAAGAACTTTTACAAAAAGAACTTTTAGGCTTAAAAAGTAATCCTAAACACCCCCTTGGTCAACATAGTTCATTGTTGTTGGTGGCGTCTTAGGGTTTCAAAACAGCACCACATTGAGGTGTGTTGACCGGAGAAGAAGAAAGCATGTCGGCGGTTAGTGGAAGTCAATGTTGGAGTCAAACAGAGACTGTGATGTTTTGAGTAAGTATTTTAACTATGGTGCTGCTTAGAAACGGAGACACGAAGTATGGCTCTAGGGTTTCGTAGTGTTCATCAGCACTGTTGACCCTCGTGACCAAGCGTGGTGATGGTGGACGTTGTGTAGATCTAGGCTTTAGGGTTTCTAAGAGCCGTCAAGGATCGGTGGTGTTCAACGACATAGATATGGGGTTTCATGGTGTCAAAGAGAGTTGGTGGTGTTTAGTAACTGCGTCGGCGGCGGGTGGCTGTGGTGAAGGTTGTTCACTTATGGTGCGTTGGCCATGTCTTGCAGGAGGTGCACTCGGTGGCTCGCTGATAGTGGTACTGGCTGAAGATGGTGGCGACGATAGAGGGAACCTCTTAGTGTTTGTAGAAAGTGTGGTGAAAGACTTTAGGAAGATAGACAGTAGGACATCAGACATTTTAGAGGTGGAGGAATAGTATGGGATTGTGGGGGCGGCTAATTGGGGTAGAATAAATTCACCAAGTGAAAATTTATGTCTAACAATTATTTGGGTTTAAAAGATAGGTGGCACATTGTATATTTTATATATAGTATAGTATATATCATTTTGATTGGTCAATTTTATTTCACAATGATCACCATTATTTTTTAATCACAACCATTCAAATAAAATCCAATGGATCAAAATGAAAGCTTCTTGTTTTTAAGACTTTGGTCTTAAAAACTTTTGGACTTCTATTATGTATACATTATAAAGTAGTAAGATATATATATATATATATATATATATATATATATATATATATATATATATATATATATATATGAGTAAAGTCAGTCTTACCGTTAGTAGGCCTCATTCACGAAGTTGGTCTATAAAGAGGGTATAATGCTACTGCCTATAAAATGGCAGTTTAATGGGTGTCCACTCTCACCCACCGTTCCTTGACCGATGGAGGGTCGTTAGCCGAACAGGTAGGATAGGACTCTAATTCTCCCTTCATTAAAAGTATAATGATAAATATGAAGTAAATAAACACTTATAAATTCCCAACTCTTAGTTACTTAGGAAAATATGAATATGGTGCTAACCCATGAAATTGCACTTTGCACCTTGTTAAGTCATTAGTGGAGCGTGTGTGGTTAACCGGCACACTAATCTGGGACTGATAGTGCGTGACAAAGGGTAGCTTGATGTTAATCATTGATCAATGGAGCGTGTGTGGTTAACCGACACATTGATTAGGTGGTTGTAACATTGGGTGTACCAAGCTAATTTGCATGGTTATTCACACATTGTTTGTGATCCTCGACATCTCAGTCACAAACTTGAAGGGCACAATCGAGATTTAAACATGCCATTGAATAGTTCAATGAATCTCAAAGGATCTAGGAATTTCAATTCACTTAAAACCTGAAGTTCCTTTTCGTTTTTCGTGGTGGAAATTGGTAAATCGTCATTTACCTACCTTCAAATATTTTTCATTCCGATTACGACATTTCTCTTATGAATTGTAAAATATTGTGTTGGGTCCTAGCCTGAATATTTCATTTGGGTGTTATATTAAGGACTTAAATCAACTAACTTGAATTTCTCCCATTGTAGATGTCTAGTCCAGACAACTATGGTCTTCCCAAATCTTTTGGAACAAGCTTTCCTCTTGAAGATGATGTCCCGCGGTTGGATCGTGGAAGTCATACTTCACCTCCTCCACCTCCTCCAATAATTCTCCCTAACCCACAAGTTAAAAGACTTGAAAAATTCAAGGTCACTCAAGCCCTACTTGCAATGAAACATCAAGATGGAAGGCATGTGTGTACTCACGTCTTGGAGATGAAGTCACATATTGACAGACTGAGAATATTGGGTGTCGTTGTCTCGAGGAAGTTGGCGGTTGACTGGGTTCTTCAATCACTTCCCGAGTCATATAGTGAGTTCATTAAGGACTACTATGTGACAGACCACGACATGACCCTTATTGATCTTACCTATTTGCTTGTTGCTGTTGAATCAACAATGATTTGGCGCACTGGAAAAGCAAATTTGATTGGAAGATCTACTCCCCAAACTTCCATGGACATTGACAATGGAAACATTGGAAGTCCAGAAGAGATTTCTCTTTCCAAGGGAAAGAGAAACGCTAAGTCTTAGATTGTCCCGTGTACCATTCCTAAAGAGTCTATATGTTTCTATTGCCAAGAGAAGGGGCATTGGTTGCGAAGCTGCCCTGACTACCAGAAAGATCTAAGAAAAGGTAGAGTCGAAAAGATTGACTCTGCTTCAGGTAAGTCTACTGTCTAACTCTATTAAGTTCCTAATTGTTGATTCTTAATACATGATGTGACAAGGTTACATTTTGATGTTTTGTAGGATCATGCAAAGGGAAGGAAGCTTAAAGGAAGAGTATGTTTGAATCTGATCACAAAGATGGATTTCAATCGCATGGTTTGAAGATCAGATTTTTAATCTGCTGCTTAGGAGTTATGATAGATTGCTTGGAAATATGTAACAACATAGTTTTCATTTGTAATTGCATTGTAAGGAAAAGTTTTTTCTGCATTTTATAAATAAATAAAATTTTGTTTTTATTTTTATTATATCTCCTTGCAATGACATTTGAGAAAAATTGATGTTTGTATGTTTGTATGTTAGCAATATGAATTTGATCCTTTCGTTTGTGGTAGTGTCGAGTATTTGCCAAATAAGTAAAGATTCTCATCACCCAAGTTTCAATTGGACAGAAACTTGGAATCATGCAAGTTGTATTGTATGATGAATGAGAATTTTCATCTTTGGTAAATTAAGACTAATTCCTTGTTCACATGTATATGTGAGTCAAGTGAAGGACTAGGAGATCGGGTACACTGGGTGTGTGCTGGTCAAGATCCACCACAAAGATCAAGAAGACTATTCGTCATGATTTTCTAAAGTTTAGTAAAACATGGTTATGCTTACAAGTTTAAGTATAATTCTGAAACATTAGCAAAGGTTCAATGTATGGCAGAACGAATGAGAAAAAACAAATTAGGCAGAAAGATAAAAGTTTCTCCAATCTGAAAAGATGGGAGAGTACTTTTGTATGTCCCAAATTTGCTTGATGTATCAATCAGATCCAATTGATGGTGCGGAATCCCAATCAATTGGATGATGCAAGATCAAATATGGAAGAAGGAGAAGAAGAAGAAGATGAATCTATGATGTATTGAAGATTGGAATGATGTTCCTTACACAAGATTCACACACACACACACACACTCTTCTTCTCTCTACTTTCTCTCTGTAGAACTCTCCCACCTCACACTCTGACCATGAACTCTCAATTAGCCTCTCTTTTGACCGTTAACTCCCTCTACCACCTGACATCTATTTATAGGGAACATGGGCCGTAAACAGGTTCATGGCCGTAAACACCCACCTGGGCCGTGAACCCTCCTAACCGCACACACCACATGGACCGAAAAATATTAAAGCTTAGAAAAGTAAAGTATAAACCATATTTTTGACCCAACAATCTCCCCCTTGGTTTATAGCTTTCTTTTATTTGACGCAACAATCCCCCTTGGTTTATAGCTTTCTTTTCTAATTGACCAAACAAACTCCCCCTAAAAAGTAGTTGGCTTTTCTTGTCAATCTTCATTTGGAGCTTGGCTTCAGCGTTAATCTTCGATTTCATCACAGCTTTAAGATGAACTTGATGAATCTTCCATCAATGACTCCATCTTGAGCACTTAGGCATTTCTTCAAGATTTGACTTTGAACTCACTTTGGGTGTGGAGGCATCTTGTAGAGATTCTTGAAAATTAGCGCTTTTAGCTTGAGAATCTTCAGAGAGAAAATCAGAGAGAACGAATCTTCTGGATCACTTCAGCAGATTCATAGATAGCAGCAAATTGATTGAGGAGGCTTCAATGCAATCTGTCACATAATCTTCATAAACAACTTCACCTTGCTTCTGGGGTTGAAAGATTGAATGTTGAAAGAATAATATTCATTTCTTGTTCCTTCAAATGAAAATTCTTTGATGATCACGGATGAAGCTTTGGCTCAGAAAATCTCGATACAGTCTCCATAAGTCTCATCTACATCTGAATTCACTTTTCAAGACAAAGAAAATTTGAGATAAAAACAAAAACTAAAAACAAACTCAGCACACAATATGTTTGTATTTTTCATATTTTCTGAAAAAAATAAAACAAAAATAAAAATATTTTTAGATTTTTTGAATTTTCTGATTTTTGTTTGATTTTAAAATTTTTGATTCTCCCGCTAAATTTGTGCATAGAGGAAAACTATGAACAAATTTAATAAAAACAAAAATATTTAGGATCAAAGTTGTCAAGCAATTCAATATCGTTTATCTGCACACACTTGCATGTTTAGATCTGGTCAATCACCAATATTGTGGCCCACTTAAACACAAAGGATGTTGACAAATTGGACAGGTTATAAGTGACAAGACAGTGTTATCTATATTCTTAAATGGACATTTAGCTGACGACGACCAAGGATATTATCGTCCACTTAAATTAAGCAGCGAGATCTACAGACAACCTATTAAATGGTTCAATTTTAGATGCACTAGAACGTGTTTCCCACTTCCCGACATACCCCGGTAATCAAGAACTTCCAAAGAACTCTTTACTTTAGGTGAGTAGACAATCATTAAGAAGGAAGTCAGATTTAGAGATAGGTGCATATGTTGTGTCCCAGGTTGGATCTCTTATAATCACACAAAGGGGACAACATATGGCTAACTAGAATAGAGGGATTGAGAGGTAGAATGTTGCATATGCTGTGTTCCAGGTCGTATCTCTTCCAATCACACAGAGCAAACAACATATGGATAACAGATAGAAATAATTGCATAGATAAGAAGATGGATAGAAATAGAGTTGCATATGTTGCATTCCAGGTCGGATATCTTCCAATCACGCAGAGGAAGCAACATATGACTAACAGATAGAAAGCAAGAAAATAATTTCCTACAGACCTATTTTATCAGAACCCCTAGTCGCCCTATCAATACCTGAACTAAGGACATGAGTCCATACATTCAGGAAATGTTGAGCCACAGTTCTAGATATTTAACTTTTAGTGTATCTCGCAGGTTCCCATGTTTATTTCACTGCTCAATCTACCCAAGCGTCATATTGTCAGTTCAAACGGAACTATCTAAGTCAATATTTGTCAAGTCTTTTCACAGTCCATCTATGCCTAGTCTAGTCCATTAAAACCTTCGTGCCTACCAGCGCATTGAGCATAGAGTCTAAACAATTCGGATTTAGTGCATTACACGCATCATAAATTGCCCTTTAGCACTATACTTCATATCACTTCCCAAATAAGCACCTACAAACTGACAATCATGAGAACATATTTTTTTGTTTTTGATTTTTCTTAATTTTTTATTTTGATTTCTCCCCCTAAATATGAGCATAGGGAAGAAATAAAATAAATGCGCAAATTAAAAGAAAT